TAGCTCTAGGCATAAGTGCTTTTCTGTACTCTGTTTATTTTCCCCATACAACAGTGTTATGTATGGGCAACTTTGTATAACATTCCAAAGCTGTAGTTCTTTGTGCTCTACTGGTGTACTCACAAAATTCCATCCTTGTCCTATTCTGCTGAGCGAAATTTTGCAAATAGAGCGGTAGATTGAAAGGGCAAAGGATGTTTAGACCCTTAAACCACACTTAAAGATGTGGTCAAATTCTCCAGGCTCCACTCTAGTAGATACAGAAAGATTTGCAAAGCATGTAATTAAAATTTAATTTGAAAATGAAATGGACCCAGTAGCTTGGGGGAAAGCCAATATTCCTCCTATAATCCCTCCTACCCCCACCCCCATATTCTTTGTTTCTTATTATAAAAGTAATATATGTTTATTTAGAAAAATGCAGATAGGCAATATGAGAAAAATGATCACCAATCAGAATAATTATGGTTAACATTTTTTTGTTATTGTTGTTAATCCTCACCTGGAGATATTTTCCCATTGGTTTTTAGAGAGAAGGAAGGGAGGGAGGAAAGAGAGTGAGAGACATAAATGTGAGAGAAATACATCCATTGGTTGCTTCCCACACATTCTCCCAACCTCCCCTCCACCCCCACGCACCCCAACGACAGGGGTCAGGGATGGAACCTGCAACCCACGTATGTGCTCTTGACAGGGAATCAAACATGGAACTCTTTGTTTTAAGGGCCGAGTTCTAAGCCCACTAGCGAGGGCTAATTATGGTTAATATCTTAAGCATATATTTCAGTCTCTTTTTTTTCTGTGCATGTATATTTATATAGGCATCACCACATATAATTCAAAAGCACTCTTTTAAACTTCTGGTTTTTTCTCTTTATGCATTGCACTGCAGTTTCTACAGGGCACTGTTTGTATTATGAGCAGGAAACTACAAGTTAAAACTGGCTTTGGAGATTTACAGCTCTTTGTATCAGTGGTTTGCCTAGTGAGGTATGCACACCAAGGAACCAAGGTTATGGGTGTGTTTTTGAAATTAATACACTAATTATTTTGAACACTGCTGTACTGGAGTTCAGTTTATCCACTGGGCACGCTGTTCCTGAAGTTCAAATTCCCTCAGCAGATATTCAGAAAGTATCTTACATAACTGGTATAAATAAGGTCATGTCAGGTCCTGAATCTCTGTAACCTTCATCTACTTAATTGATGAAATGTCTAAATTCCTTAAGTGTGTTTGATAAGGAGAATATCTTACCAATACTTACTTAATGGTATGATACTGATGCATGCTGTGACAAAGTATTCCTTTGTATGTAGCAACAAGCATATATTATAGAGAAGATAACTTCCTTATTCACAGGGAGGTCAGTTTGCTTCTGAGGATTTGAGGCTCTATTAAATTGGAGAGTACCATGCCTATATGTGCCTACAATGATGGTTAACAACCAAAAAGCAGCCAAGAGAAAGCATACCTTTGATATTCAATATATTGATAATCAATATATGCTATTTTGGTTAGCCACACCAAAACATAGTGGCTAAAAACAGTTTATTATAATCTCTCACAATGCTTTTTTAAAAATATATATTTTATTGATTTTTTTTTTTACAGAGAGGAAGAGAGAGGAATAGAGAGTTAGAAACATTGATGAGAGAGAATTATCTATCAGCTGCCTCTTGTACACCGATGTGCCCGCAACCAAGGTATGTGTCCTTGACTGGAATCGAACCTGGGACCTTTCAGGCCTACTCTCTATTCACTGAGCCAAACCGATTTTGGCTCTCACAATTATTCTGACGAGGCTCAGCCAGGCAGACTTCTGCTGGTCTAGATGGAGTCGTCATATACAGTTGTAGTCAGACAGCAGCTGGGGCTGGATACCCCTGGGGCATGACTGGTGAGCTGGAAGGGCCAAGATGGTTTCTTCACTCACATGTCTGGTGATTTTGTTCACAGAGTTTCTCTTTCCACTTGGAGTCTCATCCCCCAGGACTTCTCCCCATGGCCTCTCTTCCCATGAAAAGTTTAAACTTCTTACTCGACTTCTAAGAGTAAAATTAAAAGCAGCCAGATTTTTTTAAAGGTGGAGGCCTGACATCATGTCACTTCCAGCCTCCATCATAATTTAAAGCAAGTCACAGGGCCACCCTTGATTCAGTATCAGAAAACTACATAGCATTGGGCATTGAGTGGTGATTTTTTAGGTACCATCTTTAAAAACTAGCTCCCTGGTATACTCCAACTGTAAACTAGTAACTCCAATGGTTACATTTAGAACTTAAACCATAATTCCCATCAGAGTCTGGATATGTTCTGGCTCAAACACAAAATGCAATCAAGGGAAGGTGAAGAGAAAGAAACCTCAATGTGATGATGAAAGGTTTTGAAACAGTAGGTACTTTCTTGGGCCTCGCAAACTTGGCAGCTTAGATCACCGAGAAGAAGGTGAAATAAATGGGTCATTGCATGACCATTATCCAAACTTTGTGCTCAGAAGGCTTATTGATAATGCTTATTTCAACTCTAGAGCAAATATTATAATTCTGACCATTTCAAGCATATATGGAGGGTTGTGTTTCCAAAGACAGCAAAGAATTCAGACCTGAATGGAAATGTAGAAGGGTTAGTAGTTGTGAAACCAATTAGTGGGGGCGGAGGATGGGGGGGAGATAAATAGTAGGTAGGAGATCCTGGCAATAGAAAGGAATCCCATGGCACCGGGACAGGAGAGAAAAACCAGCATTATTTTTCCTGGTCCTCTGGAGCTTCTTAATGTCTAGTAGCTGTGCCCCCACAGCACAATATGTACACGTAGAGGGCAAGGCCCAAGGTCTTCCATGAAGACAATCGCATTTCGGTATTTGCCAAGACTGGAAATCTGCTTGACAAGAGCGGTCTGAGACCAGGGTTCCCCGTTTGTTTGCGTGCTGAGCCACCATTCCATGCCAAATAGCTCTCCTAGTGTTTATTTTTCTTAAACATGTTCAGACTCTTCAGATATTGTTCTACTCCCTTTGAAAACACACTGCAGGTGGCTGAAATAATATGCTCCCAGGAATTGCAGTTTTGTAAAAGTAATTTCATGCAGTCTAAGCTCAATGGAAACTGGTTGGTTAACAAGGAAATACCAAATACTTTATAAACTCTTTGAGGGCAGGGGCCATGTCATATATAACTTTGGTATCTCCTACCTCTTGGGTTCATTGTCTACCTCCTAAGATGTAGTAGTTTCAAACAATTCACTCTTTGCCCTTCTTTGAGTCAGAAATTTTATTTTGTTTCTGCAAGTTTCATGTCAGGTTCATTGTGAATAATTTCTTCTAAGGCTTCTTTTTTTCAGTGTGCCAGATCCTTTTACAGGCTTTCCCCATAACATCTGAAAGGATTTAATTCAAGTTGAAGAGCCTTGCTTCAATTACAAGCAATTAATTTAGGCTTCACTTATCTCAAGGAATGTTTGAACATATAAATTTCCTGATAAATCCTGGGAGTGTTCAAATTATGCAACCTAGAGAAAGTAAGTTGAGTATTGACCTTCTGTGTGTGTGTGTGTGTGTGTGTGTGTGTGTGTGTGTGTGTGTGAAAAAGGGAGAAAGGTTTCTTGAATGAAATAGTAGAACCACCACCGTTGGCACTACTTCACCTGGTTTTGCATAATATGAAGATGCTAGAAACTGAAAACCAGTCTTGTTAAAGTTATACTATTTATACAGAAGAGAAAAAACAAACAAAACAATTTATCTATTCGTTTTTAAATCTTTAAGAATGTCACAACTTTCCTGTTTTCAAGAACTTTTAAGTTTTGTGGTCAATGATTCATTTTCAAGTAATTGTTTTTCATGTAAAATGTAATGTATATTCATCATCGACTGAAAACATACTTAAAGTGACAGAAAAACAGGAATCATTCATGATCCTACAACTATTAATATTTGGTGAACAACTTCCAACTTTTTTCCTAGGCACATGTTTTTACAGAACGGATCCCTTCTATACTACACAAACTATTTTATAACTTTTTAAAGTTTGCACTTTTAAAATTATATCCCGAGTACGTGAAAAGGACGATGGCATGTCGAAGTACTGCATTGTTAATAAAGCACACCATCCGTGGCGCGGTGCGTGAGCTTCGGTGGGAAAAGAAGAGTCTAGGTTGGCAGCGCCGACCACTCTCCGACCAGAAGAGACGACCTTGGCCTTGGCGCCGGGGCCCAGCCGGACTGGCAGCGCGTGGGAGGCAGCGGAGGGCGCTCGGGGTGACCGCGAGCACGAGATCGCCGCGCGGCCCGCACTTCCCCTGGGCCAGGCCCGCCGCCCGGCCCGGGCGCACGGAGGGCAGGAGGGCGGCCGCGGTGCGCGCCCCGGGCTCCCCGGCGGCCGCCCCCGCCCCGGTGGCGCCGCTCGCGGGCGGGAGGAGAGATAAAGCGGGGCAAGGTTCTGCAGCTCCGATCGGGGAGGCGCGGCTGCGATACCGGCGCCTTCGCCGGTCCCCGCCGCGTTTGTTCCAACTGTTTAAACTGTTTCGAAGCGTCTGACCCCGAGGGACCTGCGGCAAACAACTCCCAGCCTCTCGGGCGGGGAGTGTTGGCTCTACGGAGCGCAGGGACCTGGTAACTCCTGCAGCCCCTTCCCGGCCCCGCAGCCGCCCAGCCGGTCCCCGGCCCCCGAGACCCCAGCCCCCGGCTCCCGGCCCCATCCCGCCCCCGGACCGCGAGCGGCTTGCGTCAGCCGGGGCCGGGCCGGGCGGGGGCGGGGGATTTTCGGAGCCTCAGCCGGGGCGGGCGGCCGGGCGGGGACGGAAAGGCCCGGGCGCTCGCCCCGCCCTCGGGGGCGGGAGGCGTGGCGGGGCCGGAGCCCGGCCGGCGATCGGGGCCTGGCCGCGGGGAAGCCAGTGCCCGGAGCCGCAGGAGCCGCCGCCGTCAGCGCCGCCCGGTCCGCCGCGCCTGGGCAGCCCGCACCGCACCGCCGTCGGGGAGCCTCAGCCCGGCCCCCGCTCAGCATGATGGACCTGGAGCTGCCGCCGCCGGGGCTGCCGACCCAGCAGGTGCTGCCCCGCCCCGCCGCCCCGCCGGAGCCCCGGGATGGGGGCGGGGGCGCGAGGGGGGCCGGGGTCCCGGGGGGACAGCCGCCTCCGGTGTCTCCTCCCGTCCGTGGCCGGCGCCGGGGCTGCCGCGGTGCGGGGGGCGGGGGAGCGGGCACCCCAGGGGCCGGGAGGGGGCTGGGGACGCGCCCGGGGGACCCAGCGGCCGGGTGCCCGCCGCCCCCGAGGGCGCCCGAGTGAGGGTTTGGGGCTATGGAGCGAGTGGGCGTCTCCGGCTGCGGAGTCCCAGCGGGGGCCCCCCAAGTTGGAGCGGCCCCGGAGGCTGCGGGGCAGGAGGGGCGGGCGCTGGCGGTCTGAGCCGGCGCGGCCCGGCCCGGCCCGGCCGGCACTTCCGGGGCCGTGCGGCTCCCCCGCCCGCCCGGGAGCCGGCAAAAATGTGCCTAGTCACGGGGCCGCTCTTGGGGGGGCTGAGCTCCTCTCCGGCCGCACCCGAGCCGCTTCCCGGCCGCGCCGCGCCCGCTGCAGCGAGGTCCCCTCTCCCCGCGGGGTCTGCCCCAGAGGCAGGACGCGTGTGCCCGAGGTTCCAACATTCAGGACATCTGAGTTTGGAAGGAAGAAAAAGGGAGGCCTAGCTGGAGAAGCGGGCGAACTAATAATTCCCAAATCCATTCAGGCATCGTTCACTGTCCAGAGGAGGGAGGAGGGGCGAGGCAGCGGGGGAGAGAGGGGGCGTACACAGGTGGCATCCAAAGGTGCCCTCGCTGGTTAGAGCCCCCTTTCCAAGTCCCTGTGCTCCGGGTGGGCCCCCTGCTACCTCGTCTGAGTCTGGTTCTGGGGGTCCTCGTATGCATCTCCCCACCTCTTGTGCTGATCAAGGGGTTCCTCAAGCAGAACCCTCTAGTTCACTATCCAAACGGTGTAGCGGGAGCTATGAGCCTGCAGGCCATTCGAGAGAGTGGAAGCACGTCACTCCGTGACAGGCCGCTCCTCTGGCCGTCCGTGAGGTCGATCTCCTAGGCAGCTCGGCCAGAAAAGCCAGTCCCCCGGGTGCGGGGCCCAGGAGGCCCCCCAGTGCCCAGCGCGTTACGGTGCCCCGACGTGCGGCTGCTAACCGGGCCGCGCACAGCGGGGAAGTCCCCCCTGGAAGACCCGGGGCAGACCTGGGCCGGCGCGGGGCAGGAGAGGCGGGGCGGGACTCTGCGGTCGGAGCAGCCGCGCCCCTCGCCGCTCCATCCTCCCACGGTGCCTCCCGGTGACGCACCCTCCCGCGTGCGTGGCCTTGGCCTTCGTGACAGCGGCCGGTTGGCTGTCAGGGCGGCCCTCGGTTGGCCCTTTCCTGCTTTATAGCGTGCAAACCTTGCCTCGCCGGAGCCAAGGGACAAGTTGGAGCTGTTGATCTGTTGCGCAACTGTTATTTTTTTTCCCCCCCAGGCGGCTTTGTCTTTGGATTTAGTGTTTCAGAATTGCAATTTCAAAATGTGTGAGGCAGGATACTCTGTGTTGTGCTGTCAAGGGTAAGAGTTGCGAGTGTAGATTAGAATTTCTGTTGCTTTTCGGCTTTCGTATCTTAATATGGTTTTCCTTAAATGTTTGAGAATTTGCGTGTCTTAGCATGCTGCTGCTTTTATAAGAAACGAGGGTGGGACACCTGTGTTTCATAGTGCTTTGCTGTGAAGTTCTTTAATTTGTTAAAAATGTGAAAATAAGTTTCTGTTCATACTTTGTAGGGGCTTTTAAAGGAGTAGATGTTTATATTTGCGTTATTTGTAATTTTTTTTTTTTGGTAATTTGGTTCAAGGAAATGTGTAACTTATATAGTACAGTAAATACCTAATGTTTTAGTAAAATTTAGACTGATCTGAAGACCTAGAGTGAGGTTTTAACATACTGACAATGTATTGTGCTTTCGTGGTTTTTTTCCCTTTAAAACTTTGTCTTGAACTTTCCCCCAGTAATGATTGTGATTGTATTCCTCTGGTTCTCACTGGTATGAAGAAGTATGCTTTCAGATTTAAGTGCTATTCAAGAGTAATCTGTATGGCTATGTATACAGTAATCTATATGACAAAAGGATATATGATGCTAATGGACTTTCCATTTTCCTAAATTCAGGAGTTGAGGCCTAGGACTCTCCATTTTTACATTTTTTTTCTCTTTTCTGAGTAATTTAACATTCTATATACAGAAGTGCATAAAGGTTATATACTTTCTCATTTTAATGTGAGTTTTCTAGTTTTGTTTAATAACTCCTTTTCCACCTTTGTAATCAGACATCAATTAGCATACTTGAAGACAATGAAAAAAGAAAATGGAGTAAAATTTAGAATGACTTTCATATCTATAACTAATTCACATGAAATCAGTGTAGTTGGGAAAGATCTGAACAAAGAGTCAAAGTGGATTCTGACCTTTTGCCAAAGAAACTCCAGGTATGGTGTGGTATTAGGGTATGTTTTTCACCCTCTGTGCAGAGGAGGTGTTGATGAATAAGTCGGTAAGGAGAATCTTAGATTCTTTATCTCCAGTAGATGGAAGGAACCATCCCTTTACTCACGTCAAGGCTGTCTTGGAGAGATAAAATGTGTGAGGGATGAGACTGATCTTGGACTAGCCTGATAAGATTATTTTAAAAGAAAAATAGGACAGGCCTCCCATCTCCTGAATGAATGTTAACCAGAGAACAACTTGCCTTTTTCGATGTGAAAAAATTTCTTGAGAGACTGTGGAAGCAGGATGTAGGCATGAGTACACAACTCACATCAGTCTTTCTGCATTAAGAATAGCTTGGGCCATTTTGGAATCTCTACTTTTAACTTGGGTTTTTATAAACAGTGTTGGGAAAAACAAAACCCTGTCTGTCTTTAGGATTACTAGGAAGAGTTAGAAGCCAAATACATTAGTTTTCATAATAATTTATTTTATATTCAGGATGAATTACACTTACAAAACTGCACGAGAAAAGGAACGATCTGTAAATTTATAAGTACTACCTCCCCCCTCCCACCTTGGGGATTTCTTCTCTCTTTGCTGAACAAATTTATTTAAAGAGTTTTGCATACATAATATTTCCTCTTTAATTTTTCCTTCATCTGGGATGGATTAGTGTCTTAAACTTGGATGCAGGAAGAATTTGGCAATAAGATGGTAATAGATGTGTTATTGGTCACTTACTTGCATGCTAGGCAGTGCGATAATGGCTTCAAATGCCTAATTTCACAGTAATCCCATGGGAGATTCTATTATCTCTAGTTCCCAGGTGAGAAAAGAGGCATGGAGAGGCCAATAGTTCTGCTTTAAAGTGACCCAACTATTAAGCAGTACAGGTGGGATTCAAATCTAAGTAGTCTGACTTGCATAGCATTTAATCACCACTTCCAAACTGGACCAGGACTAGTTAAATTTTGAACAGGGAGGAAAAGCTCCCACTTAAAAAAAAAAAAAAACAAAAAAAAAAACAAAAAAAAAAAAAACGGGGGAAAGAGAGGCAGGAACAGAAGAGATTATTCATTTAATATAATAGTTTTAAACTTTCTGGGATTTTAGCAGTGCTGTAGATTCTGACTCATTTTTTAGGGACAGTTTCCTTTTTCTTAATGAAATTTCTTAGCTACTAGAGTCTTTGTTCACCTTTATTTGCCTTGTTTGTTAGAACATTCTCCTGTTCTGTTGACTCTTTCTTTTGAATATGTATCTTTACTATCAAAGTAAGTTTGATAATAAAGGTACATATTTATGCCAAGCCTGTGTGGCTCAGTTTGTTGGGCTTCCTCCCATTACTATAAGGTTGATGGTTTGATTCCGGGTCAGGGCACCTACCCAGGTTGCAGGCTCCATCCCATTATTATAGTGTATGCTCTACAATATTCATTTGTCACAAAGCCTCATAAATGAAAGTATTTTTGTGTGTGAGTGTGTTTAAGTTTATTTGACCCAAACTCTGGTAGTAGTAAAAACAAATCCAGGACATAGGATCGATTTAGAGCACCAAATCTTTCAAAGGCCCTGTTGATAATTGACTTGTGACTCATTATAATCCATCAATAGCCTGTAATATAGGAATGAAGGAGGAATATACACTGAGTGGCCAGATTATTATGATCTCTGAACCCATAATAATCTGGCCACTTTGTGTGTGTGTCCAGTGCCAGCCTGGCCAGGGGGAGGGGACATGTGTGGTTGGCTGGCCTGCCTGCTGGCCAAACTCCTGGTCAAGGGGACATTTGCATATTAGCCTTCTATTATATAGGATATACACTGAGTGGCCAGATCATTATGCATTCAGAGATCATAAAAATCTGGCCACTCAGTGTATATCCTGGCCAGTGTGGCTCAATAGAGGTTGAGCATCAACTCATAAACCAGGGGGGTCACAGTTTGATTCCTGGTCAGGCCACATGCCAGGGTTGCAGGATCAGTCTCCAGTAGGGGATGTGCAATTATTCTCGTTCATCATTGATATTTCTATCTCTTACTCCCTCTCCCTTCCTCTCAGAAATCAATAAAAACATATTTAAAATATATTTATACATATAATTTTTTTTGGCAATTTTAAGTAGTCATTCCTCTCTCACAAGCTTAGAAATAGAGACTTTGGGGTCTGTGGTATCAGGAGCATACTGAGGGAGATCCTCACACACACACACACACACTCTCTCTCTCTCTCTCTCTCTTTATCAATTTAGAGAAGAAAAATATCAGAACATTTTGGCTTTCAAGCCTCCTGAATCTAAGTTTTATTTTCTGCATTAGACAATTCTCTTCAATGGTCTCTAAAAATCTCTTGATGCTTATCTTATCTGTGTATCATTTTTTTCCTCTCTATAACTAAATTTTATTATTTTTTTATTTATTTATTTTTTAAAATATATTTTATTGATTTTGTACAGAGAGGAAGGGAGAGAGATAGAGAGTTAGAAACACCGATGAGAGAGAGTCATCAATCAGCTGCCTCTTGCACACCCCCTACTGGGGATATGCCCGCAACCAAGGTACATGCCCCTGAC